AAGCAGGCAGGTGGCTCGGTGGTTCAGGTGAGTATAACTTTTTTTAGATAAAAACAAGCAGTTAACCCTTGTAGTGTGGGGGTAGCGTCACTACTAGGGTTAAGACACGTTTTGTTCTTCTTTAAGCTCATGTCTTTGCTCACACATCCTGTCGACAAGCTGTCAGTTTTAGATTGTCAGAACAATGTGCAATGTAGGAAAGCCACGTTGGATTGGTGTCATCACTTTCCATCCCGGGCTGTATAGGGATTTTACTGGAAGCTCATATAAAGACATCTGAGGACACTATTCATAAATACCTTTAAGGATTTTAATGAATAAATAAATGGATTAAATATTGATTTTTTTTTTTTATAAGCCTTTATCTTTGCTTTTCGGGAATGTTCACATGGGTGTTAGAAATAGGATTTTGTGCAAAGGCTGGTTTTCTGCACATTTGGAAAGTGTTACGACATGGTAAGAAACTTTTCCTGAAGCTCTCTGAGCTCCTGCCAGCTGCTAACAGGGTCAAGTTTATCTCTTTCAATGCCAAACAAAACACTTTTTTGTTGTTTTTATTTCTGCACTGAGAGCAGTTCCAGGGGTTGTTTTAGGCTGTTCCATGGCTGTTTCTATGCGATTATTTTTATTGTTCTTTGAAAACCCAATTATCTGTCCTCTCCTTTTCCTCTCTTCTTTTTGGGGTAATTGAACTGTGGAATTAATTTACAATAAAAAAATATTCTAAATATAAACATAGACACTACAAAGGTTTTTCAGACACAAGAACAACTTGTAGAATGCTTTTCAAATGCTCTTCTCGTGTCTGACAGGTGCTTGCTAAAAGTCCACACCTATTTATATGGTATTCACTGTGTGCTGGACGTATGCAAACCCTCCCGAGCATTGGAAGCATGGCATAAATCAGTGCAAATGATGGAAATTCTCCCACTTCCATGACTGTGTAACCATAGAGGCCATAGAGTTACTAAAAGAGTTGAGAACCTTTACTCCATAGGGCTACTAAAGGAGTTCAGAACCTTTGCTCCATAGAGTTACTAAAGGAAGGGGTTGAGAACCTTTACTCAATAGAGTTACTAAAGGAGTTGAGAACCTTTACTCCACATAGTTACTAAAGGAGTTCAGTACCTTTACTCCAAAGAGTTACTGGAGAAGTTGAGTACTTTTACTCCATGGGGTTACTAAAGGAATTCAGTACCATTACTCCATAGAATTACTAGAGAAGTTGAGAAACCTTTACTCCACAGAGTTATTAAAGGAATTGAGAACCTTTACTCCATAGAGTTACTAAAGGAGTTGAGAACCTTTACTCCACATAGTTACTAAAGGAGTTCAGTACCTTTACTCCAAAGAGTTACTGGAGAAGTTGAGTACTTTTACTCCATGGGGTTACTAAAGGAATTCAGTACCATTACTCCATAGAATTACTAGAGAAGTTGAGAAACCTTTACTCCACAGAGTTATTAAAGGAATTGAGAACCTTTACTCCATAGAGTTACTAAAGGAGTTGAGAACCTTTACTCCACATAGTTACTAAAGGAGTTCAGTACCTTTACTCCAAAGAGTTACTGGAGAAGTTGAGTACTTTTACTCCATGGGGTTACTAAAGGAATTCAGTACCATTACTCCATAGAATTACTAGAGAAGTTGAGAAACCTTTACTCCACAGAGTTATTAAAGGAATTGAGAACCTTTACTCCATAGAGTTACTAAAGGAGTTGAGAACCTTTACTCCACAGAGTTACTAAAGGAGTTGAGTACTTTTACTCCACAGGGTTACTAAAGGAGTTCAGTACCTTTACTCCATAAAGCTACTAGAGAAGTTGAGAACCTTTACTCCACAGAGTTACTAAAGTAGTTGAGAACTTTTACTCCACGGGGTTACTAAAGGAGTTCAGTACCTTTACTCCATAGAGTTACTAGAGAAGTTGAGAAACCTTTACTCCACAGAGTTATTAAAGGAATTAAGAACCTTTACTCCATAGAGTTACTAAAGGAGTAATGCACCTTTACTCCATAGAGTTACTAAAGGAGTAATGCACCTTTACTCCATAGAGTTACTAAAGGAGTTATGAACCTTTACTCCATAAAGTTACTAAAGGAGTTATGCACCTTTACTCCATAGAGTTACTAAAGGAGTTGAGAACCTTTACTCCACAGAGTTACTAAAGATGTTGAGTACTTTTACTCCACGGGGTTACTAAAGGAGTTGAGAACATTTACTCAATAGAGTTACTAAAGGAGTTGAGAACCTTTACTCCATAGAGTTACTAGAGGAGTTGAGAAACCTTTACTCCACAGAGTTATTAAAGGAGTTGAGAACCTTTACTCTATAGAGTTACTAGAGGAGTTCAGAACCTTTACTCCATATAGTTACAAAAGGAGTTGAGTATCTTTACTTCAGAGAGTTACTAAAAGAGTGAAGAACCTTTACTCCATAAAGTTACTAAACAGTTGAGAACTGTTACTCCACAGAGTTACTAAAGGAGTTCCTTACCCTTACTCCATAGAGTTACTAAAGGAGTTACTAAAGGAGTTGTGTACCCTTACTCCACAGAGTTACTAAAGGAGTTCTGTACCCTTACTCCATAGAGTTACTAAAGGAGTTGTGTACCCTTACTCCATAGAGTTACTAAAGGAGTTGAGTACCTTTACTTAAAGTAGTATTAAACTCACAAAATATTTTTCCATAATGAATCCAGAACAAACAAATATGCATTGGCCAGTAAAGTATTTCTTTACATTTTTGCTCAGACACTTATAGTCATCTTGTTTTCTGAACAGCTCCAACTCTCTCTCCATGGCTTCCCTGAACTTCCTGCCCAGTACAAGATCACAAGGGTCAGCACAGTCTCCAGAAGCTTTCCATCTACTAGCTTGAAGAAGGGGGATGGTGCAAGGGTGGAGCAGGGAGCAGAGGAATGGTTTGCCTGTGATCATGGAGACACACAGCTTGCTAGCACACACAAGGGTGGCTCCATAGGACCCTGCAAGGAAAAGGGGCTACCCTAAAATAGGATATCCGGACCAGTGCTCAGGGAACAAGCTGATTCTGCAGGAAACTAAGCCTCCATTGCAAGTGATTTAATCACCATTTGATAAGGCTTAAAAAACATTTTGACTTTAATATAACTTTAAATTTTGTGTCTATTCATTTTAATTATCCAGTCATGTGAAAAACAATTCCTGTTTCATTATTCCAACTGCATGTGATTGGGCATTTAAAGTGACCATTAATTTATTTTTCACATGACGGAATAGCTGAAGTGAATATTCAGTCAATTTATGTAGAGATTAACATTTTTTAAATAAATTGCCTCCCGATTTTGCTTATTGTTTTGATATAATTTGAAGTGTATGTGAAGCCAAACTTTGTTTCTCCATTTTGAGTTGAATAGAGAAGAGTTAGAACCTCTGTCTGTTTTGTATTGCTGTCTGTGTCAGCGCACCCTCTCTTTTAGTTCTGAGGAGCATTATCTTCGGTACAGACAGCAAGGGGAAATCCAAAAATAGCGTTTGAAAGCAGAATGTGAGTGGAAACCCTACAAAGGGAGAACCGTTTCCTGTGACAACCCCTTGCTTTAGGAGGTCTCCTCTTACATCCTGCTCTGTCTCTGGGAGAGGAAGTCAATGGAAGATTCTCCAAAGATACACAAACAGAAAAAAAATAACAAGAGTCATAAACCTTCCCTACTCTATCTCAAATGAATGGGTAAACTTGTCAATTGCTAATACTCCTGTTCATTTTTTATCTGCGGCTTCATTAAAGAGATATTGTGATGTGTCACCTGCACTCCTTACAGCGATTGGACTTGATTCATGATCGTGGTGATTGCACAGATGGCGCTGTGTAAGTTTTACAACTAGAACTGACATTCTGATTGTAAAAATTATATATATATATATATTCATTCTGTAAAATGAGGAGAGGTAATATTTGTCACCGGGACTGTAGGTGAGGAGAAACCTCCCTAATAGAGACTTAGAAAGCAGTAAAAAATAAAACAACAGCATTTATAATCCTTCCCTATCCTGTCCAAAGCTACAAAATAAGTTTTGGCTGGACATACACGTTAAATGCAATGTATTCTATAATATTATTCTAACAATTGAATCCAATTACTAAATATACGTAAGTGTGATATGTAGGGTTGCCACCTTTTCTTTAAGCCAAACCCGAACACTTTTTTGGTAAAGTACACTGTGCATGTATTTTGTGATTAAATAACATTGGAGGTAATCACAAAGATGTCAGTGTGCCACAGGACCCCAGATATGTACTATACAAAGCAGCATCCATATACCTTGTCGCACACTCTTTACCGAATATCCCAAAAGTAACGGGTGCTCGCAATGACTGCGGAGGGCACCGCTCACAAAAGAACTCATATACAGATGTCACCAGTACCAAGATTCCACGTTAGTGCAAATTACAATTTTTTCAGTATAGGGTACGAGTACCAAATGCCGATACCAGTGCAATGGGTCATGACCTGCCGCCCGACTTATCAGAAAGTTGGGCGGCAGGTCCATGACCCATTGCCCGGCTTCCTGATTGCCTGTGAAGCCGGTGTTCCAGTGAACTCTCCCCCCTCCCCTCCCCCCCGCAGCTCCAACGGGACAGGAGACAGCGCTGTGACAGTTCAGAGACTATCGGGCACTGTCTTATAACGATCGCACACTACAGCCGGCCCGGATTAACCCCTTAAGACACGTACCTCTAGCCTCACAGACAGCCGCACGCTCTGCCGGGATTGTGCTCACACACCACAGCAGAAGGTCCTCCTTCACTCATTCCTCTCTAGGACCCAGGGGCTGCCCCCGTCTGCCTGAACTTGTGACATCTCGTGTACGGGGCTACGGTGGCCGGAAAACCGGACACAAGATGCCAAAACCGTACTGTCCGGTTGAAAACCGGACAGGTGGCAACCCTAGTGATATGGTAGGTATTGCTTTTGCCTATATTTTGAAATGACCAATGGAACAACCTTCTCTTGCAGATATTTATTAATAATGAGTGGCATCAATCAGTAAGTGGCAGAACATTTCCTGTGTACAATCCCACCACTGGTGAGAAGATCTGTGATGTACAGGAAGCAGATAAGGTGAGAACTGAGTGCCATCATTGTATAACATTGTGACACACCAGTACACCAAACTCAATCAGTATTTTTCCTTTCACACTCCAGAAAATAACTCTTTTCACACACCAAGAAATAACTATTTTCATACAACAGGAAATAACTTCTATCACACACCAGGAAATAACTCTTTTCACATACCAGAAAATAACTCTTTTCATACAACAGGAAATAACTTTCATCACACACCAGGAAATAGCTCTTTCATACACCAGGAAATAACTATTTTCACACACCAGGAAATAGCTCTTTTCACACACCAGGAAATAGCTCTTTTTATACACCAGGAAATAACTATTTTCACACACCAGGAAATAAAATGGGACATGTTAATTTTTTAAATACTTTAAATAAAAGTAATTATCATTAGTAGCCCACAGGAGATATTTAAAGCCCACAACACCCTTAAAAATTACCAAGATCTACCTTATGTTCTCCTTCCTCATTGACTCCATTTTGCCAAAATAGTGAAACTTTGCTGGAATCGCCAGATTTTCAACAAAACTTTGGATAAATTAAGACTCTCAATGTCGCTTCTTCCTACTTTTAATGTTTTAAATACATTGCTTTAATGTATAGTTTGTAATGCCTTGCTCCCTGCTAAAAAAATAATCACTTATACAAATTGTCATTTAAAGCTGAACTCCAAGCAAATGGCTAAATACACATAGGGGTCTATTCACGAAGCTGCCGAGAGCAGCCGAGTGAATGACCGATCTGAAGTGAAGTGAGCCAAACACTGTTCGGCTATTCACTTCAGGCTGGTACGGCTAATTTCAGCCGTACATCGGCTGAAATCAGCCGTACATCGGCTTGCTTCGTGTGGCTTCGGGTCGGCCGAACATGCTCAGCATGTTCGGCCGACCCGAAGTGCAGAAGGAGTT